CGCTGCGCCGCTGCGCCCGCCCGTGAGGTGAGGAGGGATGTCGGCGATTAACGTCCTGGCCGAAACCCGCGCTCCCGGGGCCGGGGGGGCAGCGGGAGGCCGAGCCTCGCTCCCTGCCCGGGGTGAGCGAGGTGGCAGCGCTTCCCCCTCCCCCGCTTTCAGCTGCGGCGGCGGGGTGCGCGGACCTGGTTTTATTTAGGTGGTGTTGATGGCTTGTGGGAAAATGATAAATGTTTTGCATCGCGGCTTTTAGGTCGCTAGATGTTTGGCACGGTTTTTTTGCTGGACTCCCGAATCTCTTATGGCAATCTCTAGCCTTCTTTTTTTGTTTGCTTTTAATTAAATTGCTATGTGAAACAATAACTCAGGACTAGTAAATCAATCCATTTATCACTAGGAAAACTGTCTCAACTTAAAAAAAGCTCTGAAGCAGCCTCTGCACGATATGGTGTGGTTTTAAATTGTAATTCACATGGCTTAAAAGAGATGCTTGCAGTGGAAAGCGCATTTGTATTTTCTGGCTAATAAACGGGTTCGTCGTATTTCCTGTTTCTTCTCACTTTAGAGGTTATTGCATTTAATAGTGTGCGCACAATTTCTTTGTATCCAACACCTAAAATCCTGTAATTGAAGAGTGCCTAAATACAGTGGCAATGAGATGGAAAGAAAAGTCTGATATAGTTCTTTAAATTCTCCTTCTCTCCCCAGATATGGCAATCCGCTTTAAGCACTCTGAATCCAAACCCCACCGACAGCTGTCCTCTCTACCTGAATTACGCCACTGTGGCCGCTTTGCCTTCCAGGGTCAGCCGACACAATAGTCCATCTGCAGCTCAGTTCATCACCCGGCTGGTTAGAAATTGCCTTCCAGGAGGTGTCAACAGATGTATTGTTGTAAGTGTCTGCTTGAAAATGCTTCTGGTGAGATGTTTAGTCAAGTATTTTCTTGACTTTTCAGGATTTTAGCTGTATCCAAGGAGACTGGAGGTGGGCAAGTTTTACCGATATAATTATACTGACATTTGTAAGTGGTTTTGCAGTGATGCGTAAACAAGACCCAACTATAACAGCTTATGCACGCTCAAGCAGTTGGAGGGGATTAAGGCTGGATATGTATGGAATACCTTCAGCTAGAAACATCCATGCAAAGGGAACCGGTAGTGGCTTTTTTCGAACTAGGATTTATGACATTAGTACCTGCTTTAGCAGATTGACGTAGCCTGCACGCAGAGTGCTATGTCTATATTGCATAACCCATTTAAGGTGGCGGCCGGTCATGAATGGTGTTCACCAGGGCTCAGTGTTGGGGCTGGTCCTGTTCAACATCTTCATTGATGATCTGGATGAGGGGATTGAGTGCACCCTCACTAAGTTTGCAGATGACACCAAGTTGGGTGGGAGTGTCGATCTGCTGGAGGGCAGGAAGGCCGTACAGAGGGACCTGGACAGGCTGGATCGATGGGCCGGGGCCAGCTGCGTGAGATTCAACAAGGCTCAGTGCTGGGTCCTGTACTTGGGTCACAACAACCCCATGCAACGCTACAGGCTTGGGGAGGAGTGGCTGGAGAGCTGCCTGGCAGAAAAGGACCTGGGGGTGTTGGTTGACAGCCGCCTGAACATGAGCCAG